CAATAGGACACGGAAAGCATGCCGTCGTTGTCCCATTTAAGGCACCATAAGTACCCGATGGACAGTTCACTGTAAAAAAAAAAGTTTAGAACTTTATGCGGACCCTTACATTAGTCTACTAGTAAGAGTTTCAATACGACTTCGAGTCTCCAACCAAATCTGAGCGCTCAAGATAATTCTACCACACTTATTTTTAAGTCCTTATATTGGCTCGACGCTCGAAAGGAGCGAAAGATCTGGCGGGTCATTAGCAGGTTTTAAATGTTAAATTTCACTTAGTCTAGCGTTGAAGGACAATGGAAACGTAGGGAATGCCTCTTTCATTCCAAACCACTGACATACTTCATTTTACAGTTCAGATAAGTCAAAAAGGAATAGAAACTGAAAATAATTTGTCCTGAAATTGCATATACGAATAATGAAAGGCGCACATTCAAAAATGACCTGTTCCCTTAATTACGTAATAGCTGGTGAAACGTTGCCAAAGTGAGAAATAAAAAACCTGTCTCTGAAGAGTGAAGGTACTGACAGAATTTTCTTGAAAAACCAGAAAATTAGGATCAGTAGGTTGATCTCCCGTCTGACTGGGAGTAAACCAGTTCGAACAACAGCCCCAGTAAGCAACCTCGACCCCAGAGTCTTTTGGAAAACGAGAAGACCCTGGGGACGTGACTGCTCCAGTTAGTGGCCGAAGCGATCGAGATTTGAATCTTGGGCGATTGAACAACTCGGCCAATTTTGCTGCCTCCTGCACAAAGTTGGTTTTTAAAAATGATATGAGTGTGTCTTAAGGGCAGGACAAACATAATAGCCAAAGCTGAGCAATGGCCGCTGCTGCTTTTGCGTTCCTTTTACTTCATTGCGTGATAATAATAACATAACTGGTCCGTGATTTTCAAGTTTAGTTTGGAAATGTCTATTGATTACATAGTTTGGATCTCAACAGAGTTACTTACCGCAAAGGAAATTATTTACATACAACATCGTGCCAGTAGGACACATGGATTTGTACTCTCCAGTTTTCCATGAGCTTGGATCAATGTACAGACTCACATCTTTGATATTTAAGCTGATTCCTCTAGTATTTGACTCGTTAACCAGAACAGCTACTGACTGTTTCATCACATTCACAGACTCCATTACACTTCGAGCGTTCTCCCTCTCGGTTCTGTTAGTCGACTCTGGTCCTGTTACATTTAAGCTGAGCAACCTCAAGGATGCACTGCAAGAGACGTTTTTCTGGTCGTTGCTTTTGCAGTCATGTATAGTGAGATTCCTCACTGCATTAGAGGAAAGGTTCGCCAAGTTGCTTACCACTCTTTTAAAAGAAAATTGTACGTCTAACTGAAAACGTTCGTTGTCGTGTAAGGGAGTGTTATCAATATCCATCTGATAGTTTACTTCATAAGAATCTTGAAGACTTTTGTAGTTACCAACTATCTCAAACGATAATCCCAACGAAGGCACCACCAAAGAAAATCCAAGAACTCTGACGTGGACATCATGAGACAAAGTGAAGTCGAAAGGATTGGACACGTTACACTTGTAAAATCCTTCCTCCTGATTCTGGACTGATGTGAACTTCAAAACGGAAAAGTTGCCATTTTCAACCATTCTGTATCCATTCGCTTCGAAGGGCATGAAAAGCCACTGATAGCGAAGTGGTCGAACCAAGCTGGTTGCCTTACAGCGCAAATAAAAGCCGGTGTTGATCGGAATGTGTAGCTTACTTGGAGGCTGATGTACCAGGGTTGGAGGTGGGTGTACCAGAACTAAACTGGGCGTCGATGTTTCCACACTCACGTGGTTGTAAGCTTCACATGTATAATTACCGCTATCTTTTGTTGTTACTTTTTCGATTCGTAGATTCTCTGCGTCACTTTCTAGCAGAAGCACGCCATTCTTCTTCCAGCGATAAGATGGCGCGGGGTCTCCGGTGGCTTTGCAAGTCAACTCGAGCGTCTGCCCAGTTTTCATGTCTTTCATCACTTCTGGATGATTTGTAATGTTGGGGGCGACCGCACAGAAAATTTTTTCATTCTTCATGTCTTGCAAAATCTGAAGAATTCTAGAGGATCTCTCGGCAGCGTCGGCCACTGTAAGGTCTTCAAGTGAAACAAGGGCTTTGACTTCCATCGCGAGTGCTGCTAATATTCTCTTCAGCCTGACTGCCTCAGGGAGAGTTGAGTCTTGGTAGAGATAGTTCCAGTTGTCCACAAAGTCTTCCATGCAATCCACGAAACCATTGCATTCCAGTGATGTGCCGTTAAATACCCTCTCCATACTCGCTTCCCAGTCTTTGTAAACAACCTCTATCGCCGTTTGCACCTTAGCGTGATTTGTAGCATTTCTTAGTTCAATTAAGTCAACTGCACCTATAACCTCCTCGTCTGATGACACGGCCTTCATAGATTCCTTCAAATCTTTAGCGGTGAGCCCAAACTCCGCAGCTTGTGTCATGTCGATTGTAAAATCATGGGCTTCAGCATGCCGTTGCCTTATGGTTTTATTCGTGACATTATTGAAAGTCATTAATGACTGTGTAGAGATCTGAAAAAGGGAACTTATTATGTCAGTCAAGGCGTGTTGATAGTTTGTAACCAGTGCACATTTTTTCTTGAATTCAATCAGATTTGTTACATAAGCTTTGCCTTCGTCAATGGCTCGCTTTCTTCTTTCAGTCCGTTTTGCTGAAGAAATCTGATTTAATGGATGCCCGGAACGGAGAATAACGCTAACGTTACCAAAAAGCTCTCTGACTATTTGTTTTGATATTTGTTGCAAGGAATCGTTAAATGATGCAAAATTGAGAACTGGAAAGATCGTTTTCTCTGTGTCCTTGGAGGCTATTTTGAACATCACTGGTATTGAAGTTTCGTGGGGTGAGGAAAAGGTAACATCGAATGAAATTTCCCTTATATAAACTGGACATGTTTGATTGGTGCTATTCCATAGTCGTGCCAAAGCAACTGCGTCTTTTATTAAAGCGCGATTCTCAGCATTCGCCCTTTGTGAGATGTTACTGGCTTTTGCGACAGCATCATGTACTCTTTGAAGGATACTGCGTTCGCTGGAAGCGGCTTCCAAATCAATCTTTCGTTTAGAAAGTTCAATCTCGGAAATTCTGAGTTTCTTTTCTGCCTTTTGTAATTTCGTAACTGGTTTAAAGAGATCCCTTTTTGCCGCATTAAGCTTGGACAAGGCCTTCTCTTTAGCCTTGCGGCAAAAAACATTTTTTTCCTTGCATCTCAACTCCTTCATCCGCGATGCACAGTTTACCTCTTTGCAACAAGGGGTGGCAACAGTTTCTTTTATAACGTTTACTTTGCATGAAATCTCACATGAGTAAGGTACGTTTGTAAACTTATAATTGAAGACATTCTTCTCACAAGGCTTACGTTCTACCTTGCATTTCCATTCACCCTCATCGTTACACCCAGTGACTGCATCGACCACTCCTTCGACAACCCCATCAGGAACTTCAGGACCAGGATTTTTGGGATCGCCTGGCCCAAAGACATAGGGTGTACCGTACGAGTCAGCGACTTGCCATAGAGCAGCTCTCGCTGCAGATTCCGCCGCTTTTTCCTCGCTTCCAGTGACAGCATACTCAACCGTTCCGCTGGCTATTGGATATGCAACTTGTGGTGGAACGCCTACAGACACTAGCCCATACGTAACAACTGCCTTAGCTGCTGTTGTAAGACCTTTCTCAAAATTACAGCCCACGAAAGAGAAGAAATCACCTCCCGAATGATCGCATTCCTCTTCCAAGCAGGTTGCCATCTCCTTGTATGGAGGAAGCCTTTCCTTCCGGACATTATGACAGATTGCAGGGCAAAGTCCTTGTTCCTCGCTGATGAGGTCATTGTAACAAGTATTACATGCTGTTCCAGCAACACAGACATAAGGACATGTAGTTACAGAACATAGTCGTTCGAGTGATGATTTGAGTTTGTTGACATCTTGGTTACTCACGGATACATTTTTCTCGGCGGCAGTAACCTCCTTCAAAGCGGCCTTTTGGAATTTCAATGCCCAGAGGTATTTTGTGATGGCCAAACTAGTCCTATTTTCGGAAAGAAGAAGTCTAGTTTTACTTTTTTCAAGTCTTTCGCTCATTTTTTTATCGATATTTTTTAGGGCTACTAGCCGTTGTGCGGTATTTTCGACAATAACTTGAATGTACTCCGTTATCATTCCTTTGATGACATCTTCTAATGCATCATTCGCGCCTCCTACATTGGATCTTCCAAATATCCCGGTAACCTTTAGAAGTAAATAATCCCAAGGCTGTAGTGGACTTGAGCCACTTAGGAATAGGCGATAAACATTGAACAAGAGGATGTCTCTTTTAAAACTAGCAGAGGTTTTTGAAATTGTCACTTGCGATTCAAACGAGTCACCCAGTATCGACACTGTTGCGTTAATGATTCCATAAGATTTGTTCTGGCTGTCAAAAGGTAGAAATATTTCAACAGAATCCGATTGGGATGTTGTGAAGAATCTTCCTAAGGCTGCCGTCTGGTTGAATCTTGCTGACAATTTCAGATCCTGAGCTTTCCTTTCACCACCGCATCGTTTAAAATTTTCATTAGCAGCAATTTCCGTCTTAATGGTCACGTTGGGAAACTTCAGTGGTCCAAACTTAACGGTCCCATTTACGTAAAGCTCCAAATGCATGGCTGTTTTCGAGGTTGACGAGGAATTATTCAAATTGTGAGATTTGGCAAACAACGTAACATTGCTATTAGGATTTTCTATGAAAGAGCCAAGCAGAGTAGACGTAAAGGGATCTTTTTGCAAGAGCCCGTTCAGGGACATTTCGTATGTATCTTTGAACTTGCAAGATGTGTAGTTTTCATACTCTGTTAAAAATAAAACGTAAGATTTCATACTTTAAAAAAAACGATTCTCAAGGTAAATCCACTGCACAGAAAAATTTCTTAAGAACAGACATGCTGTGACTTTGCGTTCACTATAGAAATCACACATGCACCGGCGGTGACTTCCCCGATAATGATCTGCGGTACATTTTCGTCACGGTCGTAGTTGCTGATTGTACGTGGTCTCTTAAACAGCTATCCTAAACGGTCCTTGGACCCTGTCCAGGATTTTTTAAAACAATCTTGATCTCAAATTTAGGCGCTCATTGGCCCCAGAAAAGGTTATTTGACTTTTCCCGCGAGAATTAACGTGGGGACAACCTGTTGAGGCCATTACACATGTGTTAAAGTGAATCAACCGCCAACCATGTCCCGTTTGGATCACATGCGAAAGCTCTGATAAAAGTTGAAATATATATTACAGTTGAACCTTCACTAACGGCCGCCTCTCTACAACGGCCACATTTTTTTAGCGGAAAGTCCATACATTGACTTTTGTTTAAACTTCTCTACAACGGCCACGTTCTTCTGTCTCCACAAGGTCCCCAGTAGGGTTTCTCAATCTCGTAATCCCGACCCGAGATTTCGAGCAATCCCGTAATCCCGAGAGTAATTTTTGGCATCCCACCTCTCGCGCATACTTTCAATCCCGAATCCCTCCCTGATTTTGCTGTAAAATCCTGAATCCCGAGCTTCAAATAAGGGAAATCTCGCATCCTGGAAAACCTATTGGGAACCCTCTCCCCAAGGTGGCCGATGTGGAGAGGTTCAACTGTATTTTGCAAGTTTCAAACTGAAATGTTTTTGCCTGTTTAGGTTTTCATTGAACCAAAGCAGTGAAAGTTCAGGTTAATCTAGAATCACTAAAACGTTTTCGAAGTCACAAGATCTATGGCAGGTTAATGTCTAGCTAAAACGTAGCCAAAACGGGCGTGTGAACGTTTAGGACGAAAACAATAAAGACTTTTTTCAAGGTAAGTGCAGGAAGGTCCCTAACATCTTAGCAGAAACCAGCTACGCATCCTACCATAGTAAAGTATCGGTTCGTCTTTGTGTGATTGTTTACTTTAGTGATTTCATTCTTACTCTTGATAGATAAGCAAATAGAGGGCCAGCAAAATCGTCTCCGTGCACACTGACCTTGGTATTGCACTTTTCCCGAGGACCTATACAATGACATGTTTAATGTCATCTGTTGCTTCAGAAGGGAAAGAGCTAGGGACACAGTCGTTTGTCCTCGAAAGCCAGCCGTCCAAGAACTTGGAGTTTTGACCCACACCTGTGTTTTAATAACACTGTGTTAGTCTTAGGTTTTGGCATGCTAGTAGTGCTGAAGATATATAGCCGTCGACAAATAACTTGTCATTGAGTTTTCGTGGTCCGAGGTCCGGTCCGAGGTGATTCGTGGACGTAATGAAGAGATCTCTTTTGCAATAAGAAATAATTTTAGAGGGGCGTTTGAAATTAACGTAAAATTCCGCGTATACAGTGTTCCTATCGAAGCTTTTGTAAAGAGAGAGAAGAAAAAATGAATAAGTCCTCTTCTCTATGCCATGAAACACTTTCTTGTCAGCGTACTCAAATTTGTCCAAAATAACACCAGCCTCTGTTGTCGTGATTCAAGAACGTGATTTGGACCTAAAGTGATATGTAAATATGTAAATCTTGAATTTTGTGCGTGTTGTTTTGGAACTGCTCATATGCAGCCACGCTCCATCGTTTTAATTATGTATATTTTAGACAGGCTTACTTTTGTTCAAACTTACATTGCTGCTATCCTGAATGCCAATAACAGCATTTCCCACTAAGCTCACTTTGATAGAATGGATGGGATGAGACCCCCAAATAGTCTTTTCTACTCTTCCAAAGAGTTCCAGGTTGCCAGGTATGAGAACATTCCCTCTATTTCCTGCATTTACCGAATAGCTCGTTGTTCTTTGTCCAAAAAACTGCATTGCCAGGACAGAGATGTTCCAGCCTTTAGTTGCAAGTTCCTGGTACATGGGCATATTTTTTAGGGCAACATACGATTGCGGATTGAAGGCAAGAACGACCTTGGAGGGAAGAGCATCTAAGCAAAGCTCCACAGCGGCCAGAAGGAACGAATTTTTGCCATATTTTGGCAGCTTTACAGAAGTCCCGTTGACCTGAACGGTTATGGCACCAGTGTACAAAAGGACAGAGTAGTAGGTGTGATCATTTAGTGAAAGTCCCAAACCCTTCAAGACGCTTTTCAGTTCCAGTCCCGTCCAAATATAAGTGATAACGTCATTTGGCTCAAGAGTCGAAAAAGTTTTCGACGGAGTTAAACGGAGCCAGCTGGGTAAGCTGGTATTTAGGGATTGAAGAAAAACAGTTCCTAACGTTTCTGAGGGAAGACATTCAAGGTTTTTAGGGGTTTTGTCAAAGCATTGCCCTGTGGCTCTTGAAACGGTAAAGCGATCTATTTTGTCAAGGGCTGCTCCTCGCAAGCCGAGTGGTAATGTAAGATTTCCAGATACAATAGAGACAGCCCCGTCTGTGCTTACTCGTCTCAGTGACCGTAACCATGGTTCCGTTGATTTTGCGTAAAGGAAACTACCCCCTTTTGGGCACTCATAAAGAGAAACTTCATGACAGCCCTTTGGGAAACTGATGTTGGCAGTTTCGTTGCAAGATGTGCCATTCTGAAGAACAATTACAGTGTCTGGCAACACTGTTTGGTAATCCTTGGCTGTAGCACCAGAAAGGGTGTAAGTGATCTGATGGATGCCTGGGAGACGTGCTGTGACAGTCATGTTAAAGATGTACAGTCTTCCTCGCTCAAGTTTTACTGGAACAACGACCAGATCCCGAGGATGCAATTCCAATCCTACTGAGTTAAATGTGATTGTCAGTTCCTCTTTTGGTGGAGACAACTGAAAAGTAAAGTTCCAGCTGCTATTCTGCTCAAGTCGGGGGTAATTTGGCTTGCGGAAAATCCCGACCTGGCATTTGCTGCCAATGTGAGCAGTGCCTGTGCAGTTACACCAAAAAGCAGTGCTGTTGAGAGGGTGGCACACGCCTCCATCCAAGCAAGGGTTGGGACGACAAACTGTTATAGCTGCAATGGTCAATCAGATATTAAAACATTAATCAATTAATTAATCATGTAATCTAGAGCGGTCACATCCTAAGGATGGAATACCTGGAAGCTCATATTCCTTACCGTCACAGTTGCCAGGAGTGGGTATCCATGTGGAGTCAGCTGAGCATGAAACGGTTTTGCTGCCATTCAGGAAATACCCAGAGCGACAATCAAAGGAGCACTTTCCTTTGTATGTGGTTGAGCAGGGAATTTTGACAAAGCCATTGGAAGGAGGCTTAGGTCTTTTACATTGCTTTGCTGCAATCAGAGAAAAAGAAAATTGATGAGTAATTATGAAAGCATTGCTGGCTGTAATCCATAATCTTCATGCCTTATTATAGGAAATTAACGCTCCATGAAATTAACGCGAATCGTTAAAATTCGCGTTAATTTAAGTCGCGTTAATTTTGTTGAGCGTTAATTTCCGCGACGTTAATTAAGTGCAGCGCTAAATTCCGCGCTCTTAATTTCCAGTATTTTACCCCCAATTTTGGAACCTGTCTAGACATTCTTGACACCTACAAAACATTACCTACGAGCTTTCTTTCCTTCCATTTATCCTATATTTTTCATCTTTCAACAAAGCTAAGGGGAAGGTTTACAATATTTGTTAAATTTGTGTCCAGTTGTCACCACCAACCGTGTCTTAATCGCGTTAATTTCCTTTATTTTGAAATTCTACCTCCTCTTTCGCGTTAATTTTCTTTATTCGAAAGTTGTTTTCCATTAAATTCGCGTTAATTTAAGTCGCGTTAATTTCCAATACCTTAATTTCATGGGGCGTTAATTTCTCGCTGCCTTGGTTTTAAGATATACCAAAGGTTTAGATAAGTGGATTCTGAATCAATGTTTACCATCCCGGTAGGTCCGAAAGAGTTCTTCAAAGTTGTGGTGAAGTTAATTTGTGATTATTACAGAATGGGGAAAGCCTTTCTTCGTCGATTTCGATGAAAACCTACTACTGCCCTTACGTTTCAGCACTTCTCTAACGCTAGTGCTCCTGAACAAAGAAACACTCGAGAGTGAATAACTAGGTTTCGCTCACGTTTATTTATACAGTTTACAGGACTTGTACACTGCAAGACATTTTTTCCTTTTACGTATTGCAAGTTTTGTAGGCTTACTTTTGCAAACTGGACGAACTCCGTTCCATTGGGCTTCGATCAAACATGTGAGTAGCATTGATCCTACTAGTTCGTACCCAGGTTGACAGCTAAACTGACAGACACTGTCCACTGTGTTTCCAGTGCAATTTATGTATCCATTGACTGGTTGGGATAGGGACGAACACGGATACCCTGGTAAAGAAATTAATTTAAATCATCATTAGCGACACGATAAAAGAAAATTGTTGAAAAGAAAAGGCCAGATTGCAATATTGACACTTTTAAAAATTAAAACGGTGATTTAGTCGTGGACCAAATAGTTTCCTCCGATGGTATTGCGTCACAAACATCATGAACCGTTTTGCAAGTTAACTAAATAATGGAACGCTATACAAAACAATCTGATACAAACGCTTTTTTAGGTTTTTAAGAATCAGTAATTTAGAGGAAATCCCTTGCTCTTTCCTTCATCGGACTTTTCTTGAAGCCTCCTAGCAGTCCTAGGTTGATAGCGTTACAGAGAATAATTGACGTAAAGGAGCTATGTCATGTTATTTGCTATCCTTTTAAAAAGCTAAAAAGGTTTTTCGCATCAATTGAATTCCAAAAAAAATGGTCCAGATTTGTTATTTAAGACTGAAATTAGGCAGTGAAGCTGTGTCTGTGTCCTGTTGTCTACTGCTACGGATGGTCTTATTAGTATAAAATAGAATTCATTATATAATCTTAGGTCTACTGGTAAGCTCTTATTGGACCATCCCAAGGGAAAGATGCTTACAACATTGGGAGCAAGATCATTCTCAGCAGCAGCTCCGAAACTCTGGAATGAGCTACCTGTGGAGCTTCGTCAAGCAACATCACTTAACAGTTTTAAATCTCGACTTAAAACCTATCTTTTCAAGAAGTATTTTTATAGTTTGTAACTTAGTTTATTTTATTCTCACGGTAATGTATTTTCGTTTTCTTTTAAACATATGATTGTAAAGCGCTATTGATCATCACATGTAAATACGCGCTATATAAATTGGTAAATTATTATTAATTACTATGGTAAGGATGGACATGGATTGAGACTTGAAAAAAAGGAGCCAACTTTTTAAAGTTTTAATGCTATGCCTGAAAAGTCACCTAAACAATTATTATGGTTAATGCTTCGTGATGAAATTTTTTTGATATCTTTTTTTGATATCATAACTCTACAGCAGCATTTTATGTACGGTTAAAGGCACTAATTAATGACTTAAGCACAAAATTGACCTAAAATAGTAATATCCTCAGGGGCGTAGCTGGGGGGGGGGGGTCCTGGGGTGCCCGTGACCCCCCCTTGGTAGGCCTTCTTTTGAGCAAACAACCTACAATATTCAGGTGGCGAAAACGCCATGACAATATCTTGGCCGTAAAAGCCATTGTTGAAAAGCCCACTTTTTTAAAATTTGTTTTTCTGTAACGTATTTTCGTCAACGGCTGTTGTCTTTAGTTAATATAGGCCTTCATGCCGCGATGATTCAACTGAGCCCGCTGATACACGAGGGAGAGCAGCCGTATAAACCATATATAGTCGGCGATCCCCAGATGGTGTCCCTGTATGTGACCCCCCCTTTGAAAAATCCTGGTACGCCCCTGATCCTCATGACATGTTGCGCATACCTTTGCACGTTCTAAAGTCGCCATCAAGATAGTACCCTGGTCGGCAAGCGCAATAGTAGCTACCTGGAGTGTTACCACAGATTTGACTGCAAGTGTGCTGGCCATTTTTGCACTCATTATGATCTGGAGAAAAGTACCATTCATGAGAACTACGCCTTCGCGGTGACATAAATAGGTAACACACAGAATGGGAATAAGCAAGGGGGATTAGAATTCAGCAACAGGAGTGAGCGTGCGGCAGAGGCGAGAACGGAAAGTAAATGTGGTAGGGTAAATGGCTCCCATCTTCACTTCCTGGCATGTTTGTTTTTCTTTTGTAAGGCTGAGAGTAAGTTAAGTTACTTTAGTTTAGTTTAATACATTCGCCACAACAATTACAATGATGAATAATAACAACAAAAGGAGTGTTAACAAATGAAAGACAAACCAAAGGGATATAAGGGGCGGGGGGTGGGGTGGCTGGAGATAGGAACAGAACTTTCGTCCTGATTGCAACTTAAATCCCTCGAGTTACAAGACAATAGAAGCTAAGATGACAGTTTTAAAGGTTGCAACATTGGAGGATAATAGGTCTCAAGTTTTGAAAGGTAAAACTGAAAAAGCTAGTTTTGAACATTGTTAACGAATTACTGGCTAATTTGAACTCGCACAGTAAAAGGTTCCATAACTTGGCAGTCATAATGAAGTACGACTTTCTGAAACAATCCTGATTGTGTTTGTAAATTAGGTTATAATATATTGTTGATGTCATATCGCCGTGGTCGGTATCGTTCCTCGAACGTGCGCTGGAACTTTCTGATGTCAGTGGATACTATATTAGGCGGTATTACGTATTTTATACCGCTCTACCCTAAAATTATCTTTCTTCTGGGCAGACTAATATAGTTACTACGACTTGCGTTCTTGTAACAAACCAAAGTCTATGCCTACCAGAACAGGTCCGATTATCAGGATTAAGGAAGTAACCAGTCGGGCAAATACAATGAAAGCTACCATTCGTGTTTCTGCATTGGTATTGACATCCTGCCAGACCTGTCTTACATTCATCGACATCTGAGGGTCATAAGATAGGTTGACATAGTTAAACAACATTGTTTGCTTCTTTAGTAAAAGATAGTTTGCGTTACGCAAATCTTAGTGGTAGAAAACACCTAGAAATATAATTACTCTCCACTAGACGGGATGTCAGTTCCCCGTGGGGCTAACCGTAGCAGTATGTCAGCGGTACCCATTTATACACCTAGGCGGAAGGAGACAGTTTTAGACAGTTCTTGTGTAAGAAAACAACGCGATGGCATAGCTAAAGCTCAAAGTCGGGGGCTTACCCATATAAAGATTACCGCACGCCTCTATGAAGTGCTTCGTCTGCAACGGAGAATGTAATGTGTTTTTTAAAAACAAAATGTATTTCGTATAACCTGAACAGGAGCGGTTATCATTGTTGAGTGAGTAGCCAGTGTGGCACGTGCAAGTGTAGGCTCCGGGGTGATTCACACACAGCTGTCCACAAGTGTGATTCCCCGTCGTACATTCGTCATGATCTAGAAAAAAGGACGAACAATTACCTTCAGATCAAGGGAATAGTATCATCTAGTCACTCTAGTGTCATATTTTGAAAACCCAGTGGGCACTTTTCCCAGGTACGATGCGATATAATAGTCATTAGGAGCCTTGAAGTCCTTTTATGGGTTCGCAATTTAAAGCTCTTTTAGAATAATTTTGAGTCTGATATTTTTTGGCGACTTTTATGGGATAGACGATTCTGGTAACAAGCCTTTTAATTTTGGGGCTTTGTTACAAGAAGTAGCATAAAAAAGTAAAGGAGGGAAGAAATGTCGGGGATTTACGTTCTTCGTTGTATTAGTAGACCTTTTAGGATTATACTCTTGGTTCAGTAGGACCTCTGCGGAGTTAACAATTTGGCTACATTCGTACTTTCTACTCACTATGATATAGATAAGCACCCTATCCCATTTTCTGGATCACTTTTACATCAACGCAAAGGGAAAATAAGTCCAACTTTTTATTCAAAACGGTTATTCCAGGGAAGGAAACCCCTCCAAAACGGCTTTAGATATGATGATGGACAGCTGTGATGGAAATGCATACTCTCTTGAAAAGGTCGAGCTTGATCGAATGCGTCGCATTCATTCCTTGAAAATTAACCTGATGTTAAACTCATCGCTGATCTAGACATGATTTATCTATGGAAAAGCGGAGCAATGCCCATGGGACTTCCCTCTCTCCATAGCCTGTGTAGCAGGCGTCGAAAGGGGTAGGGGGTAGGGGATAGCGAGGAAGGGAAAAAGGGGAGGGGGATTTTCCCTTTCTCCCTCCCCCTCCCCTTTTTGCGCCTGCCAGGCAGGCTACTCTCTCCATATTGTGTTTGAGTTTACCTGCGCAATCCCTTTTGTTAGTCGTAAGTAGATATCCTTGAGGACAAGTGCAAAAGAAACTGCCAACTGTGTTGTTACACTTGTACTGACAAATAGGCTGGGCACACTCGTTTACCTCTGCGGATTAAAAGGATTAGAGACTTATCTAAGTGGTCTAGCTACAAAACAACGAAAAGGCTGCAGGGTGCTGAACAAAGGACTTTTTTGCAATTCACATCGTCCGAAAACATGGCTCTGTTAAAATATCCTATTGGTAGTAAATCGGTTTTAAAGGAGTTAGGAGTGGTTGTTGCAGCACCATATGTTTTACGACCTTGTCAAGTAACCGATGGCCATATTGATCACAGATTTATCATTCTTGAAATGGCCTACCAGAACATGTTCTGCCGTTATTGTCCAGTTCATATCCAGTCCGACAGGTGCAAGAGTAGCTTCCAGGTCTATTGACGCAATTTTGCTGACAACTGTGGCCACCCTGGCATTCATTGATGTCTACAAGAAAAAATGGTAGGCTAAAGGCTTTGGCTAAAAGGTCGGCTGCCGGTTAAGGTTTTAAAAATAATGTAAACTGAGGCTTGAAAAACCACTGCAAAAACCGTGAACGATCAATGAAGCTCAACGTTGGATCAAACAAGATCGTGATCAGTCGGAAAAGATAAAAATAGAATTAAAGTCAAAAAGACTACTGCAAAGACTGATCAAACAACGTGAAAAAGGCTGAGGTATACAATATTTTGACTGGCCAATAGCAGTCTTCATCAGGTTTATTAGGAAAAACCACGAATATACAGACTATATACTACTGTAAAATAATAAACGGGAGTTACATGGTATGACGTGGTAAGGTGTGGCTGCTAAGAAAAATAAACCGAAGAAAAGATAAAGATTACATAATCAGGGGCACCCAACGACAATTTTCGGAAAATATCTGTTCGGAAGACGATCTGCGATCTAGAATTTTCGGAACATTTGTTGTAAAATTTCTTGCTTGCCTGCCTCTCCTAGGATTTTCGAACATCTGAAAAATGGTATAATTGCCTATTTTTAACGGATTTTTACCCTAAAAAGGTCACCTAGAATTTTCGGGAGCCTTTGTTTCTGGCTAGAATTTTCGAAAAGGTAAGTTTTGATCCCTATAATTTTCGGATCACTAGATTTTCAGCTAGGAAATCCGAACAGATGAAAAATTTTTAAGAGATAAAAATATGCCTATATCTACCGTTTAAATACTAAAATACGTTTAACAATGCTATGTTAAAGTGGTTTTGAACTATATTCTCGTTGGGTGCCCCTGCATAATGATAATAATTCGTCACGTTTGTTCATTCCCAGAGGCTCGATGTTTTTGGCTTTATGAATGAGGTTCGCCTCACGTGCTTTCCTAAGACAATCGCGTTCATATCTAAGTGTTTCAACTGGGATAAGTAACATATGGGAAACAGAGTTGCAATTGCTGAGAAAGTGTTCTAAAACTGCTGTTTGGATGTAACTACCGAAAACTAGCGGTAGTTACACACACCTTATGTAATACCATGTAACTTCCTTTTATTATTTTACGGTAGTATATATTCTGTATATTCGTGGTTTTTCCTAATAAACCTGATGAAGACTGTTTAGTTAAGGTACAAAAACCACTGCAAAAACCGTGTACGAACAATCTTGCTCAACGTCGGATCCAAAAAGATCGTGATCAGTCAAAATAGATAAAACTGAAAACGTTACAGTCAAGAAGACTTTTGCAGGGACTGATCAAACAACGTGAAATAGAGTTAAGTTGAAGAAGACTGCTATTGGCCAGTCGAAATATTGTATACCTCAGTCAAAATAGATAAAATTGAAAACGTTACAGTCAAGAAGACTTTTGCAGGGACTGATCAAACAACGTGAAATAGAGTCAAGTTGATGAAGACTGCTATTGGCCAGTCCAAATATTGTATACCTAAGCATTTTCTTAAATTCGATTTTTGAAAAAAATATTTAAATGGTTGTAACTAAATACAAACATCTATATTAGTTCCAGGTCTCCTTACCCTAACTCAACCAAGTTCGCTTTATTTCGCAATAAACTCAAACTTAGAGAAGTGAAAAATACAGATCGGACTGTCGGCCAATCAGGGCCGACGGAACAACTGCACGAGCCAATTAGACCTCGAGAGAGAGAAGGTACGTATTGCTTTGATGTTGCTGATTCGCAAACGTTCGGGTCATTGCCTTGTTTACAACCGAGGAGGGTTGGTACGAGTTCGTGTATTATGGGATAAACAACATGAAACTTTCAAGGTCACAAAAAGGGCAAGTAATTCATGGTAGTCTCCATGTAGTCACCCTTATATATAGTGCAATATGTTATTATACCCGCACAGTTACAAGCACTGGGGTAAGGAGACTATGTGTAGACTAACATGAATTACTTGCCAGAAAGGGGAAACCGAGATTTACAGAATTCTGAAGTTTGGTGCTAATCGGGCCAACTGGTAAACAAGATACAGCTTCTTAAAACTTGAAAATTTACAAGGAGATTTAAGGATTGCCCGACACCGTCCGGACGTGCATGTATTTCTTAGTAAATATTGGAGTTTTTGAATGGCTGTATCTCGTTGCAGAAGGTCTAAATGTAATAAACGACCCTAGATGTAATAAAGTCCTAAATGTAATAACATTTTGTCCTAAATGTAATAATAATTTGCCCTATCTTAAGTTGCCAATTACAGTAATTACTCGAATAAGTGCGCTCTCAAATAAGCGCCGCATTTGGGGGGGGGGGGGTGGGGAGTTAATAAGCGCCCCGGCGGTTTTTCATTTAAATACGGTACCAAGTGGTATTACTATGGTATTAAGCACCCGACTCAAATAAAACCCGCGTTTTTGGAAGATTGGAAAGAGGTCGATTAGTGAAAGAGTGTAGATGTCGGGGGGTGATGACTCCTCANTGGGCACAGCATGTTTGTAAAGATTTTCCAAGTTTCATCCGAGGGGAATGGGTAAATAAAGTAAATTTGTCGAGTTTTCAACTCAAAAACATTTTAAAATTCGTGCTTGTGTGAGTAGCGCGCGAAGAACAAAACATCTTGACTCTACATATGTTTACATACTCTCATGCAAACACATCTCTCGGCCAATCAGAGCGCGACGCGTATTATCTTAGTTATTTATAAACGTTGTTATCAGCTGGGCTCTAGTCTTTAAGGGCGTGTTTACATGGAGGTAGGGGCCCCAGATAGGTGAGGTAACATGCGGGGGGTCACCCCACCTATCATGTAAACGTGATCAAATTAAAATGAGAGATTATGTGGACAGGCGGGTTCCCCACCAAAGCGTGTTACCTCACCTACCTGGGGTCCCCCATCTCCATGTAAAGAGGCCCTTAGACTTCTCGTTTTTTGTTCTTAATATTTTAGCTGATTAGATCTCTTTTCTAGAGATCCAACGTTGACAAGCAACAGGATCTTCGTCCACGGTTTTTGCAGTAAATTTCTTTAACAAAAATGAAGTATGAAAAATGTTTTAAGGCTTACAAGTCTTTTTTTATTTTGTCCTTTTACAAGCAATTTATTTGTAAACGTCATGTTACACAGTGCATAATGTACCAAAGCTTACTAAATTTTTTTCTCCAAAAATGCGGCACTTACTTGAGGGCAGCGCTTAAAACCATAGTAATACTTCTTAGTACCGTATTTACGCGAATAAACGCCGCGGCGCTTATTTAATCCCCCAAATGCTGAGCTTATTTGAGGGTGATGCTTATTTGAGTAATTAATGTAATTTGCAACTTAAGAATTTTTTACATTTGGGACAAAATGTTCTTACATTTAGGACTTTATTACATTTAGGGTCGTTTATACTGTGTTTATTACGTTTAGGCCTTCTACTCTCGCTCAGTATACACCCTATAAACATAAAAACTTCAAGATTTTGTAAATCTCGGTTTCCTCTGTTTGGACCTCGTGGGTCTCTTGTTGTTTATCCCATAATAAATGGACTCGATCCTAACCTTCCTCGGTTTGAAATCAGTTAATTGTTAAGTGTCTGCAAAAGAGCTATTTTAAGAACAATCATCAGGCGAAAGTCCAGTGTGCTATATTTTGCATTTCGGTAGTACAGGGAGCTGACTCAAGAGATTTGACTGTAGCCTGCACCTAACACGAGAAAAAAACTTCGTGAGCAAATCATAATTTGATCAATTTAAGTCTGATTACCCTTGAAGAGATCAAGAGAAATATAAGAGTTACCTTGACAGTTGAAGAATCCAGACTTGGCGTACCCCTGATCACAATAGCATCTGTAGGAACCGTCCCGATTATTAGAGCAATGTTGCTGGCAACCGCCATTATTGGTCAAGCACTCGTTTATATCTGTTGGTATCGATGTAAATGCTTTATGAACCCATGCTACTAAAGGTTGAAGTTTGTTCACGACTGCAGCAAATACTTCCTGTTAAGTGTGTAAGTCTAGTATTTTATAAAACTGGGTTACGCATTAAATGTAGCATATGTCAGTAAGATGTTAAGTATTAATTTAGGCACCCAAACTATCAATATTTTTCAAGATTTGTTTTCTAGTTCGACTGGGTATGCTTACTTGTCCTCCGACCATTTCAAGTTTATTCCAAAGTGCGATAGGTGTTATTACAATAGACTTGCTCACAAGTCGAGCTTTTGAGCGCGTAGCGCGACTGTGAGCGCGAAGCGCGATCGTACGAGCGCGGAGCGCGAAGCGCGAGCGAGCGAAAGCTCGTGCCGGGTCCTACCACACCAGACCAGAAAACCAAGCGAATGACTTTGAGAAAGTCTATTATTACAAGTGCGACAGGTATTACAAAGTGCGACAAGACAGAGGTTTGAGTTATAGAGGTTTCGAGTTACCGAGGGTAAAATTACAGTAAATGTACGAAGGAAATCCAGGGGAAATCCACTTTGGTTCGAGTTAGTGTTAGGTTCAAATTAGGAGGGTTCGAGTTATCGGGAGTCAAACAAACAAGTCCATAGCTATGCCACTAGACACGCGAACGATTTTCACCTTCCTTTTTGTAGAACAAACCTTCGTAAATTTTCTGTCAGTTTCCAAGGACCTACTTATTATAACTCTATAGAAAATGATATTAAAGAATCTAATTCTCTGCACTTATTCAAAACGAAATTGAAAAAAAAAATTAAATATGAATTATTAGTTATAAATCTTGTAGTAAATAGTTATATTTCTTCACATGTCTGATATTATTTTTATACTTATTCTTACATGTACCATACCTTATATTTTGTCAACTCAGTCTATGTAATTAGTTAATTTATACTTACCTTCATTGTATTTTACTTTCGATCCTGGCCTTACTGTTACTGTTAACTTTATTTTTACTCTGAGGGAGCCCAATGTCTATAAGCCTCATGGTTTCTTTTTGGGCTTCCTCGCCACTTTCATTTGCTTTTATGTAACTGTCTTGTTTTATCGTTATTTGTATTTTGTGGTAAATCAAATAAAGTCACTAAAAATTACTAAAAAAAAAACTGTATAAAACTTAATAGTTTTCCTACAACAAAAAAGGTTCCTCTTCAAGGCTTTATTAAGGTGAAATTTGAATATTTTGAATATTTAATTTTTATATTCACTGCGAAAAAAATTTTTTTCTGGGAAAAAATACCACTAAAATGCTCGAAAAAATTCTAGCATAATGTACAAAACTCTAGTAACTAAAACCTACTGTATCGCGTTTTGCCCTAATATTGCATGAGATAAAGTTCTACCGCGTGATTCAATTTTTGGCTACAGTAATGTTTCCCTCCCCTTCCCTTCCTGCACAATTGTGCAGCTTTTGCGCCATTCATGAATCAGTTCGTCAAAATTGTGAAAAAATTTGTTGCATAAATCTTCTATAGGTTGGTCTCGGTGTAGAGCTTTCATACAGTATACAAGTTATCAGTAGCTTTGCAAGCGGCATCGTACATACCCGTTCTGCACTTTGCACCCCTCCATCCCGGCATACATCGACATCGTTCAGGGCTTATGCAAGTGCCTCCGTTAGCACAACCTGGTTGGCCTGGTTGGCCTGTGCAAATTGCTTTAAAATAAGAAAGAGCGGAAATTAATAATAATGGAAGATCTTTTGTGTGATTGATTTTTGCGTAACTCGGCGAGTAAACTAAAACAGTTCTGCTTCGCCTATCACTGAGGTCCTGGAATAAATTAAAATAATAAAAATAAAAAGCTCACAACTGTAATTACTTATTTTGCTTTTCCCTCCGAAACATAAATTGTTTCTGCTACGTTCCTAATTTATCTTTTATTATTATTATTATTATTATTATTATTATTATTATTATTATTATTATTATTATTATTATTATTATTATTATTATGTGATTGCTCCCACCTTAATAGCTACAAATTATCAATAATTATATCTATGCCATCCGTCCTTGATTTCAGGTGGGATAAATTAATATAATTTTTTTTAATTCGTTGGTGTTGCAGGCCACCTATTGTTTTACATTTTTGTTATTATTATTATTATTATTATTATGTGATTGCTCCCACCTTAATAGCTACAAATTATCAATAATTTTATCTATGCCATCCGTCCTTGATTTCAGGTGGGAGAAATTAATATAATTTTTTTTAATTCGTTGGTGTTGCAGGCCACCTATTGTTTTACATTTTTGTCTCGTTAGCATCGGCTTATCAATATCTGATGAAGCTAATAAAATGAAGTTTCGGACTCTCAAAAGAGCACAATAATTTCCGTAATCTCTGGAAAATTTGAGCCCGATATACCAAACAGTTTCGGAGAAATTCTCTCGAAAACCCCCAAAATTTACAAAGGGTGTGTGAGCTCAAGGTTTTGCCACCCAGCAATTTTGCATTTTTTAATTGCTGCTATTTTCTTTGTTACTGATAACTTCATAGATTAACAAGCTGTCTTAATTTTTTAACCTAATTGGTATATACGGCTACATCGTTTATGGGTTAGCTCGTATGCTAATGAGCAAAAATGTAAACAGTGACGTCACGATGAATCCGCCTATAACTATAAGGTAAAAAAGTGGCTATTTTTGTGTAACTTACGTATTGTACATTCGTCCCCGGCTGCCCTCCACCCGTGGGCACAATAATAGATGGGCTTGTATCTCGTCACATAATAATGAATATTTTTCCATTTTTGACGGTATGTAGTTCTACAAAAGAAAGAAACATTGTTACTTGTAAATTTCGCCCTCAGCGCCCAGGTCTAACATTTCTTAATAAAAGATAATGCGTGCAGAAGAAACTCATTGTAAATAACACCCGATCATAAAAACGGAGCTATGCATGACTTACCCATCGTAGCATGTACAGGCCAAAGCACACTTCCTCGGCAGAGACGTGCGCATAGGAAGTTTAAAGCAATGAAGTTTTGAGGTATAACCTGCTCTTGTAAATATGGCTTTTGGTTTTTAGCTCTTACTGTGTTACAGCTTACTTCTAATTTCTTCTTAAACGGAACCTCCTCGTTTTCCCATTATTACTATTCTATAATATTATTTCTCTTCAGCCCTCGGTTTTGAGCGTTACCTTCATGCATATACAGTCAACTCTCTCTCCTAACAGACTCTCTAGGACGGACACCTGGTGTTGGTCCCTGCCGTTTTTCAGTCATTTTACTGTAACTAAACTCTCTATAAGAAACCGCTCAATGAACGAAAGTCTGTTGTTAGCCGCCGGCTCAGGAACTTTGATTTTGATTTTTACCAGCAACCATAATGCAAAGTTGCTATTTGTTATTTTGTCGTCTTGCTCCAGTTCAGGGAGTATATACTGTTTCGCTTTTAGACCACGAAGCCGTGAACGTTTGCTCTATGAATGAACGTTTGATCAGTTTGATTCTACAATGAGAAAATGATTCCACTTTTCTGCTACAATATATGTTCCAGTTTTAGATGTTCTGTACAATTTAAATTGAACTGACCATGCAGCCCATAGACCTTTAGGCCCGGGCCTACAAATGTTTGGTTTGATCACTCTTTCGCTTGTAATCAATAGGCTGATTTAGCAACAGGACGGGAACCTCAGTTGACGACGGGAAAGCGCGCGGAAAGGACTAAACACGACTTTCGGTGCTCAATTTGCTCTCTGCCATTGGTCAATCTGGTTGTTTGATTTGCACGCACCGTCGTCAACTGACGTTCCCGTTCTGTTGCTAAATCAGCCTAATTATGCATTGTTGGGGTGAGCTAAAAAGCTAAGAGCTCAAAGTGTTGATGAGGTCAGTGCGTACTAGTCATGCGTGCAATTTTCAGGATATGTAGAAATGAAAGTAAGCAAGGCCTACAACTAGTCGAAAAGCTGGCTACGCCCCTGCAGACGTTTTCATTGTGAATGGGTTCAGCTTTAAAATTACTGGTTTCACGTTACCGCGACTCTCTCTAAGACGGACAGTCAATCAATGTCTCAATTTTTTTATTTGGGCTTTTTAGAATCAATAAGCAACCTTCTACTTTACTTGAAATCTCTACGCTAATTCAGGTTTACAACATGGCTGCAAGCTAGGTATCGGTTTAGCGATGAACCAATGCACGTGAATGTTATAGAGGTGTCCATGAGCGTACTATAGAGGTAGGGATTTCCTGGTCTAAGAGAACTGTCCGTAATCGAATGTCTGTAGAGAGAAGGTCAACTGTATTCACGAAAACAAACTGAATGTTTCCCAAGCCCCGATCTCTCTCCCTTCCAGTTTCTGGGGTTTTTTGAGTATGCTAGTTCCTAGGCGTTCTCCCTTGTCTGGTTGCCCCCACTTAGAGTCTCCGTGACATCCCGGCTCACACTATTTTTTTGGATTTACAAAATATTACTGGATTGTCCCTTTTCCGCTTCCGTTGTCCAGGGTTTGCGAGCCGAGAATGCCTCGAACACTAGACTACTTCTAACCCTACTTTTAAATGGACAAGCGAAAACAGATCTCACCTGCATCTGCGACAATTTTGGCAAGACCAGGACCATGTTTTAGTGCATGTCCTGCTCGAAGTTAATGTCGTGACAGCCGTGGAAAGTCTTGTTGAATAGGAAACCCATCTTGTTTTCACGTTGCGACTGCAAGGACATGATATAAAATCGATTATATGTGAACTGGACTATACCTGTTTGTCGAGCTGCCATAAGCCGCGTTCCCCGACAGGACTAAAATTTAAATGACCCTTAACTTACTTTATATTTGACTCCTCACTGTAAAGAGGATTCTATACAGCATAATAGTACTCGGGGTTGTTGACATATTCTTCATTTTTTTACGGTCATTTTCGTCGTCATCATCATCATCATTATTTAGTTACTTATATACGTCACGCCTACGAGCTAATAGCTCGTTCATAATGCATGTCAATTGCCCTCTATTC